ACATCTCATGAATCTCATTTGCAGTTTTTTTTTTCAGATATTTAGATTGCGACTTGTAATGTTAGGGCTATGCTACAGCGAATTCGATTTTCCAGCAGTGATATTCATATTGATCTGAGCTGAATCAACTATACTTTATTTAAAAAGTAAAAAAGTACGGAAAAACAAAAAAACAAAAATGCAGCTGTGGTTGGCAGAATATTATTATTAAAATGGCTCAGAAATAAAAAAAAAATTAAAACAAATCAAAATTTTACAGTAAATTACTGTATTTTATTAGGTTTAAACACCATTGTTTAAACGTACTAAAAGCTACATATTGTACTTTTGTTCCAACAGACAAAATTACAACTGAAGCAAGTGACAATAAGAAAGTCAAATAATGAGCAAAAGCAAACAAACAGCTTTTCTACAAGAAGAGAAACTAATACACTGTATAGATCAGGGATCACCAAACTTGTTTCTGGAGGTCCGGTGTCCTGCAGATTTTAGCTCCAATCCTAATCAAATACACCTTAACAAGCTAATCAAGGTCTTACTAGGTATACTTGAGCCACACCAGCAGGTGTGTTGAGGCAAGTTGGAGCTAAACCCTGCAGGGCAATGGACCTCCAGAAATGAGATTGATGACCCCTGGTATAGAAGATGCCCTGATGTCATTCACAGTACTATTAAACATCATAATGGTAAGATACATGAAACAAAAGTAAAGCAATACACATTATTTATTACATTAGATGTAACATAAAAGTCTAATGCATATAACACTAAAAAGAGCAATAGAAATGTCAACAAAAAAAAGAAAAATATTAAGTGTCTTGCAGGGAATTTTGGCATATAAAAGTTATTATTATAACCTCTAAAGATATATTTCTTCCATATTATGGTTATTCGCTGTATATTTTAAAGACACTTATTGTTAATCAGGTTACATATTTAACAGAGCATTTTTACAGTTAAAATCACAGCAATTTTTATAGTGTAGCACAAAACCAGCATTGTGTGAAACTGAATGTGTGCAATCAACTGAACAAAAACTTCATAATGGGCTTTTGATTAATGCCTGTTTTCTTTGTAAAGATATTTGCTTTGTATAAAGTGCTACATAAATAAATGTGACCCGACTTAAGGCAGCTTAGGGCAAAGATCTACAGATTTGGGTCACACTCACATACAGAGTAACTGAGAAATATCACAGATCTGCTCGATGTTGTGACTGTTTATCAGCTTTTCCTCAAACATCTGGCAAAGATAGTTCAGTGTTCTGAAGAATGAGGAAATAAGCATTCAAGTGGATTTTCATAAACTCATTTCGAGAGGAACATGTGATATGATTGTGCACGACTGGCTGCTCATCTGTAATCAGTTACAATCCAATCAGAGTGATCTAAGCTTAGAATAAATGGATTGTTTGTTTTTTCCTTACTGCTCTATCTTCGTTTTGGAAGAATCCAACCTTCCACCATATCTCCTCCTTTTCCTTCCTTTTTTTAAGGAGGGCTCTTGAGACCTACCTGATCTCAGATCCCCTTACATGCTTATAGACCAGGCAGGAACCTTTATGCAATAATTAATGTTGAACTATAATTTACAAGATTATTGATAGATTATTGATATTTAATGTTAGTAAATACATTATCATTAATCAATGCAAAAGTGTTTCTCAAAATAATATATGTTCATTTGGGTCATTATTTGCTTTTTTTGTTTTAAGAAATCAAAAAAAATACTATTATTCAAAAAATATTTGATTAGAAATATGAAAAATCCAGTGATTAAACAGTGGTACGCAGCTTACCCAGAATTATTCTCTAGTTATTAATCTTTATTAAACTTAAAACAATTTTAAAATTAAAATAACTGAAATATATATAAAAAAAACTTAAACTGAAATATATTATATGTCAAACACTTTTACTTAAATATTTAATTTTTATTAAAATAAATATTTCTTATTTAGCATAAATGTTTAATTAGACAAACAAAAATTAAACATTCATTCATTTTCTTGTCTGCTTAGTCCAACTTATCCAGCAAGTTTTTATGTGGCGGATGTCCTTCCAGCCACAACCCATCTCTGGGAAACATCCACACACACATTAACACACACTCATACACTACAGACAATTTAGCCAACCCAATTCACCTGTACTGCATATTTTTGGACTGTGGGGGAAACTAGAGCACCCAGAGAAAACCCACACGAGTGCAGGGAGAACATGCAAACTCCACACAGTAACGCCAACTGAGCCGAGGCTCGAAACAGCGACCCAGCGACCTTCTTGCTGTGAAGCGACTACTGCACCACTGCTTCGCCAAAATTAAACAAATGAACAAAAAATAAATAAACTAACAAATACACATACATACCTGAATATACATGTATACTGTTCAGTGTTTAGTAAATTGATTAAAACATCTGTCATAAGAGCAAAACACATATTTAGGAATCTGTCAAAAACTTGTTTAAAGTCAAATTTGTATTTCCATTTATTAGGCAATTAACAAACAACGACAACAAAAATAATAATAATTTGTGACTTCTCTGAGAAGTGTGAAATTAATCAAAGGTAAAATGCATTATTAAAACTTATTTATCTTTTAAATTTAAGAACTAAAATAAAATACTCTGATTCATGGCAATTAAAATGGAAAACTACACAAATGAACTCAAATGGTTGATATGTCGGTTTATGGTTAAAAAAAAAAAAACTATGAAAAAGAAGAAAATGTGTAAGAGCAATTTATTGATATACATTCATATATGAGCATATAATAATCTGGACTGGATGGTTTAAAAGGGGCAAAGTAAACTATATAAAAAGCATGTTTAAAAGCACAGAAAGCCTTCGGTGTGGACTCTACTCATTGGCATGAGTTTGTTGCATCAATTGGCAGTAGAGAAAGATCATTCTGTCACATAATCAGACATGTAGCATTTGGATTTGGACTGATATATTCCAGTATATCTCTCCTGAGCAGCTCCCGCAGGACAAACACGCAAGGGAGCTTTCACACCTGTTTAGCGCTAAAACCAGGATTTTTCGTCTTTCAGTAAAGCCTGACTCCACAGGGTGGCTCCGGCAAAAATAGGACAGTCTTCTAAATTTGGCAGCTGCTTTGAAACTCGCACGCTGAGCTAACTACACTAAATATATGATTATTAAGAAACATATATATATATATATATATATATATATATATATATATATATATATATATATATATATATATATATATATATATATCACCTCAAAACATTAAGAGGTTTTGGATGAGCAAACCATACTATTTAAGTGCAGTAGATTGGCTTAAACAAAATAAAATATTAATTCATTCATTAAATACAAGACTGTGCACTTGTTTATACAACTAGGGTAATACTATTAATTTTAAACAACAGCATTACATTAATTGTTTAGTTACAGTACATTAAAATAGAGATTTAATTCTCTATTGTATTTAATAAATAAGACATATTAAAGATTTCTATTCTAATTACTTTACCATGATGACTACATAATCTTTTACTAGTTATTTTTCAAGATACTATTTACAATTTAATGGCACTACTTGGTTAATTTGGTTAAATTATATAAGTTAAATTAAGCTCTTAGGTATGTGTCCTGTGATACACGTTTCAACTAAAAATATCGAAGTTGTGTAAAACAAAATAAAATGCATTGGTTGTTTCAACTATTTATTTATTTTTTTTTTTGTTAACAAATTTTGTGAGGTTATGTGTACATGAGATGTTATTTTCATACATACCAAAATCATTAACCCTTTTAGAACAGCTGGTATCTGAACATCTGTTTCTAAGAAAACCGAACAAGGCTTTTTTTGCAGCATGTAATAAACATTTCACTTTGAAACTGCCACAGAATATGCAATAAGCACCAATAACAGAACTGGAATGACAATTGTTTCTCTTCGGTAGGCACACACAGAATCTATGATTTTTAGCCTGTCATTAAGTCTATGTAATTACTTGTGTAAATGTGTGTAAATTTAAATTGATTGAGTTTTTTAATTAATTTCAGTAGCATTATTGATTAATATGAAAATGTTCTTATGGTTTATTTACAATACAGTTTGTAAAGTAATATTTTCTGTCCTTTAGTAAATAAAAGATTTAACAAATTTGCTTTACCAAATCTCTAGATGGAATTGAATTTTAAACAATAAACAAAAGTTTAAAAAAGTATTATTTTTTATATCATATATTCAGTTTTTAGTTGTGATACTCCTAAAATCCTTCCACATAAATCCAGATTTTTTTATTTTTTACAAAATTGTGAGCAGAAAAAGGAAAAAATGTCAGATTCTTCAAAGCAGATTCTGTCTGGCTCTACTCAGGGATGTCTGCAAAAAAATATATAGCTCCTCACTAGCTGTTTCAATCCAAAGATGTGAATTTAATTTATGCATAAAACAGGAACATTGCATAAAAAAAATTGCAAATAAAGCAGCTCTTCTATCTAACAAGTCAAAGATACCAAAATCGTCAGTTGCTAATGAACTGACGGCAAATATTAAAAGTAAAAACAGAATTTGCTGCGGTAGAATTGAGAAGCTGCATGAATCTTTTCCTTATTTCAATTACTTGTGCCAAAAGACAAATGCTGGCATGCAATGAACGTGTAGTGGCATTTGAAGGTGAGAGACGCAGAGCACAGACTCTCATGACAGTTCTGAAGGTAATTAATAAAATAATAACACTAATATTAAAAGGGTTAAGGCATTTTTGAACAACCAAAACATAATTTCAAATGTTTTACAGTGTGCTCAGCTTGCTGGTCTGTCCATTCATACACTTTATCATCACATGATCTTCTACAACAAAATCACATGACCTTTTATAATCCACATACTACAATTTGTTTGGTAAAAGTGCTTCCATCGTAGTTCATTTGCATATTTTCTTTTCCAAAATGTTTATCCTACTCAGTTATGTGCATATGTTTTTGATGAGCATTTTCAAAATTAATGCACATCTTGGCATTTCAATCAACCAATTTGTTATGCGCAAATCCAAAATGAGCATAAAATAGGAAAACAAAAACATAGCTACTTTGCAGTGGATATCTGAGTTAATAATCCTAAGAACCAAGTGTAGTGCTAAAAAAATGCACCCCTGACAGATTATACATCCCCTTACTTCCTACTACAGTATAAAGTATGGTTGGGATTAGTTGTGTGGGAAAGGTTAGGATTATGAGGTATGGTTGGGATTAAGCAATCAGGTATTAAATTCAGGTGAATGATTGGGAAGGGGTGAAACTCTCAAGAATTCTATTTCTATCTGTAGCACGTGGGCATGCACATGTTCAATCAGATATTAATATTTAGATATTTGCTAGATTTCCAGCCCTGATAAAGTCACAAGGGGTTTTAGCATCAGAGCTGGTGCAATCTTTATGACAACTGCCGATATTTGATGACAACAATAAAGGTAGCTTTTCAGTTATCTGATAAACAAAATACTCAGAGATAAACTATTGTGTATAAACTAAAACATTGTCCATATATATATATATATACACATATATCCATATATAATATTTTAGATGTCACAATTCTACTGTATGGCCCATTTAAGTTTTACAAAACGATAGAAACTCAGACAAATGAATTTGGATGACTATAAAATCACCAAATGCTGAAAATCCTTATGAGTCTTTTTTTTTCAAAACATTTTTTTCAAAACATTAAGTTTTTTAAGAGCCTGTTTGGTTTTAAAGTCTGGACTTTCTAACACTAACAAGAAGCTGATCTGCCATCACTCTTTTGAGAAATTCAGTTAGGACAGTGGCTTCACCACACAGTTGCAAGCAAACTGAGCTCTCCACAGCCTGCTTAGTCTGTAAAGCACGTTCTGCCTGACTGGAATTACATCTAGTGTTTGTGATGGACATCATACATCCAGGGAATCTCCCAGTGTCTCTCTGATCCCTGATTAAATTGATAATCTCTGCCCTCACACGCTCTCTGCACTCACTCCAGGGGAGCATCATGGAAGGACCTTCATGTTACATTTATTGTGGATGAAGATCCAAAGAGAGAGAATAAAATGATGCTTTGCTATAGAAAAAAAAAGAAAAAAAAAAGAGTCTAAAGATGTATTTTTTTCAGATACTAAGTACTTGTTAAAGATACTCACGAGACATGCTGTCTGACAGTCAGCTTTTTATGTGTGTGTTTGGCTTTGTGTGTTAGAAAACCCAGTTGATTTTGAAGATGGTTGAATGACTAGGGCAGTGCAATTGATCTAGTTTGACAATAGCTACGTTTACATTTACATCAGTAGTCAAATTGATTGCCCTAATCTAAATACGACAATATATTTTTTAAGGTGTTCACATGAGTTGCTATTTGAATGTTCCTTTCATGATCCCGTTTTACATGCTATAACACATAGTTCAATTCATGTCATTGCTACACCAGGCTATCCACATTTCCTCTGGAGTTTCATGTAATTTTGTGCTTAATTTTTTAATTTGTCGACTTTAACAGCAGTATAAAGAAAGAATAAAGGAGCAGTTTTGAGAAGCAGGCAGCGATGCATGACTTGTCAGAATGCAAAATGCAGTATAGATTAGATAGTGTATATTTATTCAGTGCCAGCCCAAAGAGGCATAAAATCTGTTCAAATGTATCTTTCGTTAGTTTATAGTGTATATTTGTGACCTTTATACTTTACTCCCGAACCCACTTCATTCACCCTTTAGCAATACACACACACTGGACTCGGATGAGGAGGATTTTATTTTGCCCTGCACACAGAGCAGTAACAGTGAGATCAACACGGTTTAACTTAGTGTCCACATCCACAGCAGTTCTCCCTAACTCTGCTGCTTTTATCTTGAAAGTTTAGATCATTATTATATAAAACAAAGATAGAAATATAAAAATACAGAAATTGCGCAACTAATATCGCTGAATAAACACATTAAATACCTGAACACAATATATAATAGAAAATTACCTGCACACAGAGCAGTAACAGTGAGATCAACACGGTTTAACTTAGCATCCACATCTAAAACACATATAACTTCATTAGCACTTGCTGTATAAGCACATGGGGGAAATATCAAGATGAGATCAAAAGTATCAAAATCAAACAAATATGAAAAGAAAACCCACTCTGTCGATCAATAAATGTATATAAAGTGTGATAGACTTTTAAAGCTGCATCTAATCAATCATTTAAATGATATTTTTATCTTTTAGTGTGGAGCTAACACAAACCCAGCTCACCCACAGCAGTTCTCCCTAACTCTGCTGCAGTCTATACACAGACTCTGTGCGCAATAGCGCCACTGGCGAACTAGCAGGAACTGCACTCCCATTAAAGCAGGATTTAATAATAAACTATTAACATGGTATATATTTATTTTGTTACATATTGAGAACTTTGCAGTATATCTTTGCAACAAATGCAGGTAGACTTCTAGGTATCATTCATAGTCATTCATGCACATTTATGCACCATGTCATATCACACAGCTCTTACTGTCATTTTTCTGGAGTGAAATGATGCCAATAAACTTAAACTCATCTATTTAAGCAGAGTGCTCAAGAACAAACCAGGTTAGTCTGGTGGCATAAGGATAGCTCACTCACTCCTTCTATAATAAACCTCTCCACCACTTAAGTTCAAAGGATTATCATTCAACAAGTAGTCTACTCAGTTTGTAAAAAAAAAATATTTGACTACTGAAGTGTTATTAATTTGTACATGTGTATTTCACTGTACATGTTGCTACTGGAGCATCAGAGCAGAGCTAATTCTTATTCACAACAGATTAAGATATGGTCAAAACCAATCATATGATTATTTGGGCAATTACCAGCTATTAGTATAATCACAACATTACAAGCTTTATTTTTGAAGCAAAGAAATATATAAACTGTAACTGTATAACACTTAAAAATCAAGTATAAAGCGGTATGAAAAGGAATACAAGAAACAGATATTAACTGAATCATAACTGAGCAAGTCAGAAGTATTTTTAATTGTAAAAATAATGGCTTTGGATATTCATATGAACTTCCATCTGCTCCACATACTGCTGGAACCCCTGAGGCGATCGTGTCTTCAGATCACTGTTTGAATCCACGTGCTCTGGTTTTAGGCTTCATTTTTATTTACAGTCCCCATTTAATTGCTCCGTTTCTTTGTTTGTTTGTTTGTAGCCACCAATCTTCTAAACCAAGGATATTTTTAAATGCTTTATAATGTCAAAAAGCTGAAAACCTTGTTTACATTTGAATGCAATCTGGTTTCTGGTGAACTAAAATCATGTATTAAAGATTGAATTTGATTAACATGATTGTTACTATTGGCAATGTTAATCTCAAGCATGGCTGCCGGTTACTAGTAGGTCTCATTGTTTATGTAGCTAGATTTTTAATTCAGTTGATTGATTTAGCTATAATGACAGATTGTTGTGACGTACCACTACCTCCAAGCAATGGAAGTCATTTCACACAAACTGCATTTATCTTTACTACCAATTTAGTGGTTGACCACACATAGACACACATGAGCACACCCTTTTGAGTATTTGCCAATGGTGTGCATGTTGATAACAGAGAGCAATGGGGGAGGGCTAGCCTTTTTGACTATCAATTAAGCAGAAACATCAACCATCAAGATACTGTAGCAGTGGCGGATTAGTTGTTTCTACTTTGTCCATTAAATGGATTATGTTGGGTCAGTCTTTATTTTGCACCTTTCCTCATTTGTAGATCCATTTGGATTAAAACGTCCGCAAAATTGCTAAATGTTGGATGGACAAAGCGTTTTCAGTTGTTCACAATCCCTAGCAGGAACCATTAGAAAATCAATACAATAAGTAGATGACAATACACTTCATTTAAGGTTGCATCAGTATGCATTTGAATCATTGGGATGATACTCATCACAAAAACGAATAGATACTTGGATGCTTGTTGGTAAATTTACCATCATAAATAGTCAGTGATAGCAGCGTTAATTAAATATACAGTACGTGGATAATGTACTTTGCTTTTCTTACCACAAATGATGTGTATTTGAAGCACTGGCATGGACTGCAGACAGAACAACAATGTATTTTGTTGTGTTCAGAAGGCTATGCTCTCTTTCTGCTTGTACCAAAATCTGTCTGTCAGCCATTTGAAGAAACAAATGAGTTAATAAATACAAATCAGACATAATTAAAAAAAAAAAAAGCAACAAACAAACATGGAACAAAATAAACCATGATAATATGTAATAATAATAATAATAATAATAATAGTTCTATCAGTTAAAGAAACTGTTTTTACAATATTACCACTTAGTACTAAAAATAAATTAATAAATAATTTTATTAGATTTTTAATCAATATTGTTTTATTAGTTACATTTTAAAAATAAAATAATCTAAGATATATTATTATTGTATTAGATAAAAGTAAAACTAAATAAAATCCACTGAGTAACTACTATTATTATTTTAAATAATGTTACAACATAAATTATATATAATCTTAATTCACAAATCTCTATCCATACAAAAAACAATAAATAAAATTACATTTTAAAATATTTTTTATAAAAAGTAAAAAAAAAATCAAATAATTAAAAAAAAATTTAGTTAAATAATAATATCTCAATTAATTTAAAAATTCAAATAATTAATTTATTTAAAAAACGTAATCATTTTAATTATTCATTCAATTATTTATAAAATTGTTATCATTATTTTTTTTTTTACTCAATGGCTTGAAATCAGTCAGTCATATCACTTTCCGAGTGAGGTATTATTTCATCAGGCTGATGTCACTGGATTTTTTATTTATCTGAATAGCAGATGTCAGAGCAACATCCTTCCAATAATGCTTAATACCGAACCAAAGCTTACATGACTGAAATGGTGTGGGACACGGTGAGAACACATTCCCCTACACATTACACACTGACATTAAAAACTAACTAGCACCTTAATGAACAAAGACACATTAGCAAGTCCAGCACACATGACGCCAATGGCCAGACTGTGCCCGTCAGCTAAAAACCACAAGTCCCATCAGCATCTCACACAAAAACAACACATAAGAGGCGAAGAATAAAAAAAACAAAAAAACAAAAGGAACCAAATAGTGTCCAGCCTCCTCGCATTAGCAGAGCGAGACGACACGGAGAACACCAGGCTGACAGGACGGGTCACACCGATCCTGCCGTTTAGCTGTGGATTCAGTTAAGGGTGGGGGAGAGAGAAATGTTTGTCCCACAGCAATGACAAGCCAATGAGACTGGAGCCTACAGGGGGAGACAACAAAAACCACAGCCACACTCCACTCAGGCTAGCTGGATACATTTCACACATTTACTATAGATTTAATGAGAAGATGTGCTGTTTGTCTATGGTTTTTTTGCTGCACGGTTCACCAAATAAGCTAATTGAAATCATATATAATATACTGTTTAAAGCAATACTACAAAATGTATTATTCACAAATTAATTCATTTTCTTTTTCAACTTAGTCCCTTTATTAATCTGAGGTCGCCACAGTGAAATGAACTGCCAACTTATCCAGCATATGTTTGCCGTACACTGCATACACTGGAACATGGGGAGAACATGCAAACTCTACACAGAATTGCCAACTGACCCAGCCGAGGCTCGAACCAGCGACCTTCTTGCTGTAAGGCGATTGTGCTGCCCACTGCGCCACCGTGACGTCTGTTTACAAATTATAAACTCAATTTGTAGGTGGAGTTTTGCTTTTAGATTATTTTAAGTTCTAAATTACATAATTTATAATAGAAATAACAAATAAAATTAACGTTTAAGACTTTTTTTATGAATATTGTAAAATGGCAATGGAATTTATAACAGAAGAAACAGAATTTTTTTTTTTATCTTTCTAATCTCGGAATTAAGCTAGATTAATCTAGATTAAAAATGGCTCATTGGAATTCTGACGAAGGCATTCAGAATATGTGCGCTACCCAAAAAATAAGTCTTTAAGAACGGGTTTCTCAAGCCAGGTCCCGCATTAGACCAGCGGCTCATCTCCTGTTTCCAAATGCATCACAAACTGCTTGAGGAACTGTTCTACTATGATAATTGGTGATGAAAATAAAGTACAGTATGTTCAATAAGATGTACCTGTGTTTACTAACAGATTTTTCAGTTAAACATGAATGTTGATCTGTAAGCCTAGATAAACTCGAAACTGTGATTTTTGATCACCTTAATCTGACTCAAGTCATAACTGAACTAAACAGAAATGGAATTAATGGACCCAGCTCCCAAACCAACTTAGAGAATAGATTAACGGCGATATTTTTTTTATCGCGCGATAAGAGTCTCATGTTAACACAGCACGTTACGCCCATAACAGCCAACCACTAATTATTCCATTTAAAAATCCACAATAAATTAACTATTAACTAGACTCCAGAGATTAAATTAACCTTTTTTTTTTACTTTTGAAAGGTTCATACTCCATAGTGACATTGACTGTGCTCACCATTATGTCAAGTCCAAAGTTCAAATAAAACTGTTGCGTAAAATAACAAAAAATGTATTTCCTGTTTAAAGACAGGAAATGTATCTAATTTGTAGACATTAAAGAGAGAGTTTTGCTTTTACAGTAGATTATTTATAAAATGAAATTATGATAGTATAAACAAATAAACATGTGAGGTCTGTCTTTTCTATGAATACTATTATTCAACAATGGATTTTCTAATAGAAGTGAGAACAATTTTGAGACAATTTTGCTTTACACTTTTCTATTCATCAAGTAACCTTTAAAAACTGTATTATGGGTTCCACAAATTTATATACACCATCAATCTCAATATTGATGATAGTAAAACATATCTTTGAGCATCAAATCACATTTTTGACATTATAGAAATAAATCACATTTTTAGAGGAACTAGTCTCAGTTACAGTTTATACAAAAAAATAATAATAAAACAATCAATAACACAACTACAGCTAGAAGATTAAATCAACTCGAACATTAAATTAAACTTTCCTTACTTTTGAATTGTTCTACTCCATAACATTGACTGAATTCATCATAAATTTAAATCATTATAAGTTCAACTAGAACTGTTGCCATTTACAGCATTTTTTTTTTTTTTAGCAAACATAACAAAAATGTTCCATGCTGTAAGACATTTATATTTTCAGACCAAATTAAATTTTTTGTAACAAATAAATACAAACAAAACAAACTGTATTATGGTTATTTGAAATTTGCAAGAAATGACAGACTTTATTAGAGAAAAACAAATACAACATTTTACACAAATCCAAACCTATTAAATCCAGAAAAACTGAGCATATATTTAATATGCATAACATAAAAGTATTTACGAAAAAAATAAAAGTAACATTCTGCTGTAATTTGCAGCCTATATCAATACACAACAATTAAACATCTCACTAATAATCCCCTGACATATTTACGATGTTGGATATCCTGAGTCTGCTGGCATTTATTCTTGACTGGGTCTGATTGTGAAGTGAAGCTTGTGTGAATTGTAAGTGTTTTTGATTAAGTCTGGGCTGTCACGCCGTAAAGGTGAAGCTATAACTCTTCATTTATAATGGCTGCACTGTGAGCTGATGTTTTCAGTTAATTGTCTTCGCCATCCTGTTTCATTCTATCACTGATATACTCTGTCAATCTGTCCATTTGGTCATTCCTGTCTTCAACCATCCAATGCTGCCTTCTTTTTCCAATCCTTAACTTCAAAGTACTGCCCTATCCTTCTTTCAACTTATCTGACATTCTGACCCTTTCTTTTATCTCTATGTTTTGTCTGACCTCTTCTATTATTCTTCGCTTCTCTCATATTGTGATTAAAGTTTGAATTTTAAAA